ATAATTCACTGCTAATGTAATGTTTGTAATTTATGTGCATGTGTATTTGTGTGTGATGGAAAAGAAAAGTTTTAAGTAAAAAGTGGTGGGACCCACCACTTTACATATAAGTGGCAAGGAGGCCAAATTTGGGTCTCACCATTCTCTCTCTCCCGTAACTCATTGCCTTCCCCTCTTACTCTTCTTTTTTTTCTTTTTTTTTTACAAGATTCAATCCTAGATTTCTCCCTCAATTTTTAGTATTTTTAGGAGCCGTTTGCGGCAAAACGAAGAGCACGTCGAGATCTACGATTTGATCGGAGCAATTCTTCATTTGGTACACTTTGGAATTTCAAAATCTAGGGCACACAATTGGGGTTTTTTGCAATTCTTGAGGTAGGGGTTTCTAATCCATAACCTCTTAGATTTTGTGAGTCAATTCCTTATAATTTGTATTATTACATGATTAAATTGTGTATATTTCATACAAACTTTGCTTTGTGTTGTATATGAGACGTATTTACATGCTAAGTTGATATGTGATGAAGAAATATGTTTAAATGATGATGTTTTCATACCTATAGTGTTATAAGTGATGAATTTTGTGATTAGAAAGCATGAGATATATTTCTAAAAATTTTCTTTTGAATTAAAGCATGTAATTTATGTGAATTAATTGATGTTGTATGAGAAAGCATGTTTAAGTAGTGAATTTCTATACCTATTGTGTTGGAATTGCTAAATTTTCAATATAGAGACATGTTAGTTATTATTAGAAATTTCCTACAAAGCTTACTATATTGTGAACACATGACTTCTATAGAATTGTGTAATAGCATGCTTATGTGAAATGAATTATGTTTTGTATGCTCGGTATGCTAAAATAATGTTGAAGGGAAACATGAATTACCTATTTTGAGAGATTTAATTTGCAAAGCATGTGTGAAATTCTATGGTTGAATTCACGATTAGGAGCATGAAACATTCATGCATCCAATGGGAAAGGAAAATGGGGAAAATGTTTTGAAAGCAAATGAAATGATTTTGGGAAAATGTTTTGAAAAGTATTTGCGAAAATCGGACGCCTAGGAGGCGCCTAATGGTCTGTGGTATTAGTGTAGTCTAGAGGGGAGTATGGTTGAGCTAGCTAGGCCGGATACGACGCCTTGGAGGTGCCTTGTGGTCGTGGATAGTTAGTCAATCCTCCTCTCGTGATGCCATGGAGGTGCCTTGGGTCAGATTACACTAACGGTTTGAAAGTTGAAACGGAAATGTTTCAGAAATGGGGAGCGACATGAGCATGGCATTGTACTTCATTGGCATACATGGTGTATTTGCGACTTGGATGACATTTGTGTTTATAATGGATGTTGTGGTTATGGTTTACATCCCCGGTATAGTATAATCCTGTTCTCTTGTTTTCTATTCTATATGTGGATTCACGGGATCATAAGAGGTATGTCTTAGACACTTCCTACTGAGTTTATGCTCACTCCATCATTTTAACATTTTTCAGGTCACGAGAAGGAGGTAACGAACGACGTTCCTCCCTAAGTTTTGATGGGTTAGTGAACTGTTTGACATATTTTGTAACCATGATCTCATTTTATTATTATTATTAGTATCATATTATTATTATTATTAATTATAAAGCCTGGGATGACACGTATATTATGTATTGATATTAGAAAGGGCGGTAGTGTTCTTAGTTGACATCGGGTTCGGGTAAGGACCCGGTTAGCAATTCGGACCCTCGGGTTCGGGTTGTTACAGCTAACCTTTCAAATAGCATAACTGTGAGTTGCACTATGCGGAATGGATGTGGAAGTTTGATGAAAAAAATTACCTAGAGAAGTGAACAAGGTTTACTAGCTCATTTATCTAATTTTTACTTATTTTAATTTTACCGAAATAAAACTAAAATCAAACCCACAGAAGCAAAAATAAAGTGCAAGTAAAGTAAATAAAGTTTCGGAGATGACACCGCTTTTTGTGCGTGGAAACCCTAGTTGGAAAAAATTGACCAACCAGAATGAAAACCACAGAGACTTTCGCAGCCTCGAGCAAAACGATCAACTATGTTTGAAGGATCGCTCGTATATCAACCAACACTCCACAAATTATGTCTTAATCCCTTCAAAGTGTGATTGCTCCCTCTTTTTCTTTAAATCAAAATTTGATGAAGACAAATAGAAACCCTACTTTTCTAAACGAAATAAACTGAATCTTTAATAAGCTTGAAATCCGATCAGATACTGAGCATCACCCTAAATCACTCTTGTATTTATGTGTGTGCCCTAAAAAATATAATTAGAAAAATTGGATTGATTTTCTAAGTAAAAATATCTCTCAAACAATTCTCTCAATTAAAATAAATAAATTTTCAAGCCCTAAAATTTTTGGAGAGAAAAGAGTTTTTATAAGTTTTAGAGAAACCCAAAAATACTTGGAAATCAAGACAAATTTGTGTATAGACATCTCCCTAAAAACTGATCAAAAAGTAAACCCAAAACATTAGGATTCAAATTTCTTATTGGTCTGTAAAAGCGCAACCGGTTGCATGGGACGAGACCAATTCTGCTTGGCCAATGAGTTTTTGTAATAAAAAAAGAAAACGATTTTGTAATCTAACAGCGTAACCGGTTCAGCGACACATGACCAATTCTGTTACGCCAGAATAGTTTTGTTCAAAAATGAGATTGGGTAACAAAAATCGCAACCGATTGCGTAACACACGACCGGTTCCGATGTGATAGTGCAGTTTTAAAATCGTGAAACAATAAAAATAACGCGTTCTCAACTACATACCTTTTTCTATCGTGATATTATTACCCAAATCAAAATCGAAGGTATATTACTTGCACTTTTATTCCGGTTCCATTATCGAGACACGATGGATCGAACAAAAATTACAATTCGATTGGACACATTTTGACACCAAAATTTTCTAATTACAAAATTAAGATCTCACACAAACTATCCACTTCTTCAGCACACTAGCGACTACAACACCTTCTGCAAGATTTTTAAAAAGTTTCACCATGTATAATTAGGGCAAACATGAGGAAAAATGAGTGCATTTAACCCCAAATTCTAGCAACCCAATCCAGAACTTCAGTCAATTTAGAAGGCTAAGTAACCGTCATTACTGTTATACCGTGTATATATATCTATGTATGTGTGTATGTATGTATATTCCCTAATGTAACAGGTGATCGCTTATCTATTTGTTCAAAAACTTAAAAATATTGAGTAATGATGCATACACACCCAATTATACACAATCACTCTTTCATTCGGATATAATATGTGACAAATCTCCTATTCCAACACCAAACTAATAGTACCAAGTATTTGATAGTATAAGACAATTTGCAATCAATTATTATTTACGGGTACTCCTTGAAACGGTAGCAAAAAGTCATCTCTTGGGGAAGCGTAAAGGATTTGTGGAGCAAGACTCCTGGGGTTTGCTATGATTATGTTAGGAAACCGTATCAATTAGTATTTTAGAAGTAGAGCTTAAAGGAAAATTATTTTGTGCTCTGAATAATTATAGTAAATTATTAGATTTACTCTTTTAATTTATTAATTATCAACAAATAAAAAAATAAAACTCTTTATTTAATTGTATTTAATATATATAATTAATTAAAAATTATTTAATTAAATAATTTACTACAAGTGTTCATATAAATATCACTACTTTATACTTAAAATACTTATAATATTGATTGATACTGATTTTCTGACACATTATTAACCACTCTAAGTCTAATGATTTTTATTCAGACCGGTTATTTTTAAAAAGTTTAATATGAAAAAGACTTGGTCAAACTGAGGGGAGTGATAATTTGCCAATAAGATTTGGGTAAATTACCCTAATATTTATTACGATTCTATCTCTCTGTCAATGCTTTAACAACCATTCAATCCCATTCCAAAAAGTCAAACACAACCCTTCAGCATTCCTCAGTGATAAATAGTATTACAAAAAATATAAGACAGTGACAAGATGAGTTCAAATTCTCTTCTGAACGTTTTATACTACTAGGCTGCTCCTTAGGTTATCCCAGATATTTTTAAAAAGTTTAATATGAAAAAGACTTGGCCAAAACTTAGGGGAGCGAATCTTGTTATCATGATTCTCTCTCTCTCTCATTCCTTTAACAACCATTCAATCCAATCTCATTCCAAAAAGTCAGGATAAACAGTATTACAAAAAATATAAGACAGACAAAGCACATTAAATCGTGCTTCAATACAATTATTGTATTTATTTCGATCTAAAAAAAATTGTGTTAAAAATTTGAAATAATGGTGTTGCAGAGGCTCTATGGATTTATTGCTTGGTTATTCCAAATGATGTTAGCTATCATGGGATTCATTGTGCCTAGTTTGGTTCGTTACCAAGTTCCCCTCATGCCCAACATGGTTCTACTGTTTCTTCTCCACTCGAACACGGGAATGCATTTATTAGACACCAACTCCTCTTAAGATTGGAGGGAATGCATTTATTAGACAAAAACTAATTACCCCGTGCATCAAGACTAGTTTCTTTCTTTTACCTATATTATTCACTAGTAATCATGAAATCTCTGTCAACAAGATAAAAAAGAGTGAATTCTTCCTTCCATGAAAAGAGGCAAATAAACCTAATTTCATCTTTTCTTCTTACACTCGACCACTGCCAGCCTCTTATTATATTGTGGTAGCAAAGACCATCAATCCTTCTATGTTGAAATACAAGTTCGACGAGCCTGAGGAACAAGGTTTCGGGTCAGACCATCACCACCATTTTTAGGTATTCAGTCGACGGCAACGGCGGCGGCATAGGGAAGGGGAGGAGTGTGATTAGAGGTTCAATTCTTCCATTGTCATGTAGAATAAAGAAATACAAAATAGAACAACAACAAATAGCACATGAATGAAGTACATTAATGAAGTACGTTAAACAACAGGGGAAAAAAAAAAAAAAAAAAAAAAAAAAAAAACAGAAGTTATAATATTATACGTTGCACTAAAGAAACAACCACAAACATTCCCCTTAACCTTCAATGACATAATCAAGTAGAGTTTAAGGCTGTCTTAAGCACACAAATACCTTCTCAGCATATAAAATTATATTATATACCAAGTAGAGTGCATTTGGATTCCAATAATATTATGAACAAATCCAAACATAACCAAGCAACATGTTATGGTAAGTATGCCAAAAGAGAGATTTTTCACACCCAAAAAAATATAAAATCCAACTGGACCAACAACTCAGTATTCATATTTCTTCAGCTCCATACCATCCGGAGGGCTTCCTTCAACCTTCTTTGAACCCACTTCTTTCCAGTTAGTTGACAGCACCGTTCCATTTGACTCGATCTGTAGTAGTACCCACAAAATAAATAACATTACTACTTGGGATGGAGATTTGTGAAACAGTAATGCTCAACACAAGTTAGAAAACAAAAAGTACACTCTTCAATAACACAAGTAAGATAAACCAGTGGAAAAGAAAACCAATAAATGTATCAAATATAAAGCCAATATCAGTCTTACAAAAGATTTTCTCATGGCTCGTCTTGTGTCCTCATCAGCATCCTGGTAGATGTCCCGGAAAAATTTGTTCAAAGCTGCATCTCCATCTAACTTTTCTTCTTTCTCCTGAAAATGCAAACAAAACCCCATCATGCCCAAACTGAACTTGTACATTCTCGGTTTTGTTGGATAAGAACTCAGACAGACATTTACAAATACTAAGATAAAGCTATACTATGTTTCAGGCATACCTCTTTTTTCACTTGAGCTTCAAGTTTATCCCAATCTACTCCTCTCTTTGGTTTTGAGGACGGGTAAGTGGGTCTTTGGGTAGAAACTATAAAATGCAGAGAAAGCTCATCACATGAGAAGAACTAATTGATAACACATAAATAAGACAGGCATTTTGCAACTTTGGTCATCAAGCAACCAAATGCAGGACCAAGCATTTCATCCTGTCTTGACAAACCAACCATAGCCATACTCGTACAATTTATATGATGGTAAAAAATTGAAAATATCAGAAGGGTTTTCCAGCAAATTACAAGTGTATACAATGAGCATAATAAACCAAGTCTAACTAGCATTTAGGTCTTCACAGAATTAACGAATGAACTTAAAGCTCCAGTATAAAAATCAAAGCAGGCAAGAAGAGGCAAACTTCAAAGAATTTCAAATGAACAATTACTTTTTTCATGAAAACAAAAGAAGTTGACACGTGAGTGTGAAGCATTGATCACTCGAGTGTGAAGTAAACTAGCATTTAGGGGCTAGTTTGGAAACTTGTACTTTTCACTTAAGTGTGAAGCACTGATCACGTCTCCTTCAAAATAGATTTTCACATATGAGTATTGTAGCAAAGTTGTATATTTCTTGTTAGCAAGCAATCTTATCTTTCAGTTCTTCAAATATTCATACGAAGTTTTTCATGTCAAGGACCAATCTGGTTGCATCACTTATTGGATCCATGAAAACTATCTACATTTTTTATTTTGTTTTGCTAATCACCTCATTGTACAAACATTTTAACCAACCTGATGACACATTTATCCTCCGTGGAACTATCATATCCGTGCTGAACTCAAGAGATGTCCATTGTATATCTTCAGCTTTTGCAAGGCGGATTTCAATCTTTGTAGACAGAACAACGTACTTGCACTCAGCAGGTTTTATCTGTTTCTCATGCAACAGAATAACAAAAATATAAGTTGGCATCCAGAGTAAAACCTGTAACAAAACCTGCTACTCATGCATGAACCATAAGCAAACCAATACTTGGTAAAAAATTTAATTCAATGATTACATCATCATGAACTATGCAGAAAATGATTTACTTCATTTTCTAACTGCAATTGTATCACATAAATTTACTTGCCATACATATTTACCTCATGTTCCTAGTTTTTTTTAATAAAAAATAAAAAATAAAAAATAAAAATAAATATACTAGTTTTCAATTATTACAACCATCTCAGCATTCAAGATGTAACCAATTCAATAATATATAAAATGACCACGAAGCATTCCTACAAGAAGAAGTTGATGACAACATGAAGTTTAATATCTTACCTTTCCAAATAACCGAGGTTGGAAGGTGTAGGAATCCTCCCCAGGAGCATCAATCGTAACACTGAGCTGTGAAGTGAGAGAAAAATATATGTATATCAGCCAAACTTTACCCCCAAAATTTTGAATAACCAAGAGTCATAAATATGCAAAAAGTATAAAGATGTAAAGCACTGAATGATCTGAACATACAATTTGTTCACCAAAGTCAACTGTAACACAGCTAGCTGGTATGCCCTTTGCAAATATAGTCACAACCAATTCACTTGGTTTCTGGTAATATTCATGCCTGCAGAAAAATTGTTAAACAGATGACCAGTATAACCAACAGTTGTTAACACGTCATTTTGTAATGCAAATAATGTTGTTGAATCACTGATACTCCCGCCTCATATTAGATTTATATCTCATAAAAATTTAAACTTCTAAGACTACAAACATTAAATGTATTAATACTAAAGTGAAAAAGTAGGACAACTAAGATATCAACCCTCCTTTGAGCCAATTATTCAAAGTGGACATTTTTTGTGGGACATCCAGAATAGAAAAAATGGACATATAATTTGGGATTGAAGAAGTACCAAAATACCAAGGCTCTTCAGCATACTAGGAAACTTAAATATGCATGCATGCAACAAAATAAACCAATTTCTCATGTAGAGAACTACAGAACTTGCAAGAATCAGGTACAAACTAACACAGAATGTAAACACTACCTGTATTTTGGTTTGGTTGATGAGATCATTGTAACCTGATTGGAAGAGTTAGAAACTGGCTGGTCATCTTTTGCAGCTCCATCAGTTTTATCCGACAATTGAGAATCAGGAGGAATTGCAACACTAGCTGTTGTTTTATCAAAAGGCTGCTTTGGTTGCTCACCATTTTCCTCTGAGCATGAAAATCCATCAATAATAATAACAATAATAACAACAACAATGCTTATTAAAAAATAATAAAAATATTAATAACAATAACAACAACAATCAATAATAATAACAATAAGTGGAGGAGAGTGACGAGGAGGAAGAAAAGTAGAAGAGAAGAAGACATTGCAAAATCCTCGGATAAATATTCATCCCTAAGGGCCTGTTTGGTTGGTGTTCTGTTGTGTGTTGTAGTGTTCCAGGCAGCTACATAGCACTATTGAGGCCCAAAACATATTTGGCACAGGCCTGTGTTGCTTTCAACAGTGTCAGAACACTTCAAAATATGGGCCAAAAGTTGGAACAACAAAATGGTGTTCTGGCTTGTTCCACAAATTGACCGGCCCAGTTTGCACTGTAGCGGGGGCAACATATTTTACACTGTAGCGGGACAAAAATAAAAAAATTTAAGGGCAAATCATTTCAGCCTCCCAATCGCCTCCATCTCTATTGTCGTTCTCAACTCTGAACTTGCCCTAATTTCCGAAAAAAAACTCTGAACTTGCCCTCTCTCTCTCTCTCTCTGCAACTGCAAACTACAAAATCTACAAGAATCAGAAATTCAAAACCCATATATTTCAGTTTATCTGTCTGCAAGAATCAAAAGTTCAAAACCTATTACCTATATTATCGGCATATCATTTCAGATTGTTCAAAAAATCAAAACCCATATCTTCAGTTTCCATCGCCCGCTGTTCCAGTTCTGGTTCGCAGTTCGCAAGCTTCAGCCGCTGTCTCTCAACCCTCAAGCTTGCCCCCCTCTCTCTCTGCAACTGCTAACTTGTGTGTGGGTTTTGTTTTAATTTTTTTTCTAAATCAACTAATCAAGCTCTGTAATTCTTGTTTTGCAAACTAAATCGTATTTGGTGAAATTTTTTATGATCTTTTTATAATCAAGCTCTACTCTCGTTCTCAACTCTGAAGTTGCCCTCTCTCTCTCTCTCTCTCTCTGTGCAACTGCAAACTACAAAATCTACAAGAATCAGAAGTTCAAAACCCAAATATATTTCAGTTTATCCATCTGTCTGCAATAATCAAAAGTTCAAAACCTATTACCTATATCAAAAACCCATATGGGCATATCATTTCAGATTGTTCAAAAAATCAAAACCCATATCTTTAAATTTAGGGATATTTTCAGAAGGTAAAAAATGCTACCAAACATGTTTTACCATGTTTCTGTTCCAAAATTCTCACCGCAAATTTTCGTCGCCAAACATGTTTTGTTCTCATCTCAAAACAAAACATGACAAAACACTTGTTCTGTTCTAGACTAAAACAAAACACTACAAAACACAACGCATACCAAACAGGCCATTAATGTGTATCAGTCCACAGAGTTTGCCTTAATCAAACTTTGGGATTAAGTAAAATTCCACAAATCAGAACCATAATTGCAGATAAAAATATACCTGCAATAAGATCTTCACATTCTTTGATCAAAGTAGTGAATCTTGGTTCCTCAGGTGCCAAGGAAGCACCTGTTTCCAAAGCTGTCTTAGCAGTCTGATATTCCTCAAGCTTGATGCATGCAGTGCTGTAAGCAGAAACAAGGAAAATATTAATTGCGAGTCATAATGATCCAAAGCAAAGAACAATATGTGATGTGAAAGGGACTTTGGCACTAGTACAAACATGAGGAACAGTCAACAAAAGTAGATCATAAATACACAGATGATGCATCAGAAGTAATGGTTTTAGGCATGCCAAACAACACACGGAGAGAAAAGTGACATGTCAGATGGCTGCTTAAGCCGCAGAATGACAGCATGCAGCCTAAAAAATAAACATAGTATTACCAATATCACACATTTAGCCGTTAAATACTGCATAGTGCATGCATCAACAAATATGTAAATGCCTCTTAACAGAAAAAAGAAATCACCAAGACAGCATGTAGCATATGCTAAGAACACTTGCATAATACACCAAGGGAACTGATTTTAATACATAAGTGCTACCATAAATGAAAGTTAAATTTATGAACAGGCTCCAGGGACGAGTTATAATCAATAGAACCAAGGAACATAATGAATAGCCAGAAGGTGTACTTCAAAACATGGTAAGTCGTATGAAATGCTGGAATGGCTTACAGTTGTGTAATAAAGAATGAATCTGTTGTACCATTTTATGCACATTACAAATTTATCCTCAAGTTAAAGATAAGCCAAGTAATCGAATTTAAGTTTAGTGAAAGCAAAATCATATAGGACAGCCTTAACTGAGAGATATTCCAATGACCATAACTTCAATTAATTTTAATAAAAACACATGGCAACAGCACCGCCTGCCTAAAAGTATATAGGATGTTCACTATTGTATCCAACATATGAAAAACGACTACACCCCCTTTTTTGGTGTCTCTTATATTGGACTTTAATTACTTAACAAAAATATCTAACACTAAACCCTGTGTTTATCAGGATGAGAGTGAAATTTTTAATTACTTTAAAAATATCCAACACTAGAGCCCCGTTAAATCATGATGAGAGTGAAGAATACCGGGGAAGGTTATCCAATATTCTATGATGTGATATTTAACCAGAATCCTAATGATGTGAAGGTCAAAAAAAATTACAAAATTAAAACCCCGTGAAAGCCCATTTTCTTGCATCTTCTTTCTATTGAGTTTCCTGAAGATTTCACAAGAAACTTCGAACTATTGTAGCCAAATAAAGATTTATACCTTACTCTGTCATTATCACACACAACCAACACAGAGCTTTGACTTAAATATGACATTTTTTAGTAGGTGACTCAGATTATATGGGGTTAAGCAAAAACTAATTTTTTTTCAATTCATTTCCAAAATCCCTAAAGGGGTTACTATTTACAAAAATATCAATAATTATTCTGCAAGAAAACACTTTCAGCACCACCAAAACCCAACATATATTATTTTGAGAAAACTTTATCACCATAAAGCATTATCTTAATGCAAAACACATGCAATCAAGGTTGTCAAGATCAGGATTCTACGTAGGATTGTTGGGGGCTCTGTAGAATCAAAATCGTAGAATCGGATCAAAAATCATAAGACTCTACCAAACTAGTAGAAAAATAAGTCAAACTAACTTCTTAAACAATTATCTTAGGATGTGCGATTCCGGCGATCTTTTCAGGATTGGGAGTTGGATGATGTCACTGGCTTGTTGGCTCTCTTGTACAGACAGGAGGTGGAGGGCACTTGTGTGGAATCCCTGTTTTGGGTGCACTCTTCTCAGGGGATGTTCCAGGTCCGGTCTTTTTTTGTATGCCTTTCTGGTTTTCATGGCGCTTCTTTCCCGTGGAAGACGGTGTGGTTGTCTAAGGCGCCTCTTAGGGTGGCCTTTTTCGTGTGGACTGTAGCTTGGAGCAAGATTTTGACTTTAGATAACTTGAGGAAACAAAGACATTTTATTGTTAATCGGTGTGATCTTTGTAAGTTGAATGGGGAGTCAGTGGATCACCTGTTGCTGCATTGTCCTGTGGCTCATGATTGTTGGAGTCTCATTTTTTATTTATTTGGTATTCATTGGGTTATGCCTCGGACATCTCGGGATTTGCTGGATATTTGGAGGGGCCAATGGGTGGGGGCTCAGGCGAGAGTCTTCTGGAGGGTAACCCCCTTTTGTGTTTGGTGGAGCATTTGGAAAGAGCATAATAGAAGATTTTTTGATGGGAAGGAGGCCTCCATTGGGGTGTTGAAATTCTCTGTTATTTGTACTCTTTTTTGTTGGGGTTGGGGGAGAGATTTTTCCTCCATTGAGGATATTGTGGACTTTTTGGGCTCCTTGAGATCATAGTTTCAGATTTTTGTATAGCTTGGGACGCGTTCCCCTTTTGAACGCCTTTTATACATTTTACTTATCAAAAAAAAAAAAACAAGAAAGTATAAAATTACCACTCCAAATATAGTAAAGGGATTAATTCATACATATATCTAAGAGAAATTTTGTTTTTGATAAGTCATACATACATTTAAGAGAATGTTGCTCTCAAGACAACTATGCAATCTATGCAACACCAATTCAGTTAGAGTCATGAGAGATAGTACTAACTTGCAATAGATGCTAGGTAGTAGGTCCAAGAGGAATTGACCAACGTTCGTTAAAAAGTAAATCCAAAAAAAATATATATATATATATATATATATATAAAATAAAATAACAAATAACTAACATTATTTATATAAAATTTGAGTGATAGACACCTCTGCTTTTGTCTATAAACAATATCTGCATTGTAGTGCAAGAATGAATGAACAAATTTTACCATCGATTCTACTCTGATTCTACTGAAGACACGATTTATGTGTGATTCAGATAAATTTAGGGTGCTAGGATAGCAGAATTGTGCAATTCTAGCGATCTAGAACCGTGATTTTAACAACCTTGCATGATTTATGCGGCATAAAGTGCAAACCAGAAGTGACAAAATAATCCTGAACACTGCACTGTCTGGATTCAAGAAATGATATTGTCGTAACAGAAAAAAGAGAATGCACAAGTTAGCATACAGGCTAGAGAGCCCTAAATGACCAGATCTGAACTATGCTCATAAACACGAAGGTTTTTTTTTTTTTTTTTTCCCCTCTTTTATAGGTCATTTGTAACTTTAAACCTTATTTGACACCAGTGGAAGTGCTAATTGCATTGCTTTCATTTGAAAGATCATCAATTCAATATTTTCTCAAACTTTTTAGAAAACCAACAACCCAAGAGAGAGCCCCTTGAGGAAAGCATACAAGTGGAAAACAACAAAGAAATCCGCAAGATGTAAATTTCTACCCACAAGGAGGACGTATGACCACACATTTTAATCAAAACAACTTGATGCCACTAGCAGCTAACAAAATGTAATAAAAAATAATCAAAAGACTGTAGCTTTGTTCAACCAAATCAGAGTCAATAAAAGAAAACATCCATGAGACTTAGTAAATGAATTTATGATGCCTAGAAAAATTAATTGAACTCCTCGACATCATGCAGCCAATGTATCATATGCACTACAAAGATCTCCATCCAAGTCCCCAGGAAATTAAACAAACATCATTCATAATTAGCATAGATGTACAAAGTATGTGTTTGAAATTCAAACAAGAACCTAGCAATTGCATGCAAGCACTTGTGAGGAGGACAATATACTGACACCAAAGTTCTATCAAATATTAGAAATACTTGATCTAGTACAGAAATACCCACCCTTTGCGTAAATATGCCTTGGCCATTGAAGGATCCAAATCAATTGCTCTGGTTGCATCAGCTACAGCCTCTGCTCATAAAATGTAAATAGATTAATCACCAACCAAGAAACTGTTAATATAACAAAAATTGCAAATTGGAAAGTGCTAAAATATAACATGAATAATTTGGCTCAGCAAGAAAAGATGAGAGACCAAGAGGACCTCTCGACTGTTATAGTCCGTTTTTGACAGTAGAAAGCTACTCTAACCACTTATTTAGGCTTTAAATCCTAATTCTGACAATCATGACTTCAAAAATCCTCTTTTATTTCCTCTTTTCTCCTTTTTGGCCAATTATATTGCTATGGTTACAAAAAACTGTCATTAACCATTACTATATTTCGATTTTCCAATTTGAGGTACTAGCAGGGTATAGTAGACACAGCAGCCTCCTGTATCATGCTTCGCTTTTTCCCCCACTTTCAGAAACTAGCAGGTACTAGCACTTTTGTACTTCTACTTTTTTCAAATCAGAATACATGTTTAGTGAAGTGCATACAAGCAGGCTCTAAGCAATACCAAAAAGAAAATCCGGCCACATCTAACAAAAAACACACGGAACGAACAAAACCCTAGAGAACCGAAAACTGAAAATAGAACATCCATCAATAACAGAGTGAGATATCCCTAATCGAATGAAGTAAAAGAAACTAGCATATCAAATTCGAACCTTTGTTGGTTGGATCCAATTAAAAAACAATAAAGCAAGCAACAAGAAACATAATACTCAAAATTTTATTTTACTTTTTCGTGTTTGTTTTCTCGGAAACCAAACGACAGTAAAAGATGTGTGCGAAAGAGAGAGAGAGTTGAGTATGTACCGGTGAAGTTCAGGAGTTTGATGTTGGCCTGAGCGCGGTCAGCAAAGAGTTCGGCGTTTTTAGGGTTCATGTCAATGGCCTCCGAGTACAGGTCAACGGCCAATTCGAAGTGGTCGTCGATGAAGGCTGCTTTAGCCCTAGCTTCAAGATCGGGCGCCATTGGAATTAAACGAGACTCAGATGGATTGCGATTAGAGAAGCAAGGTCCAGATAGGAAAACTATTCTTGCCTTGGAGCTCTACTAAAGGAGGAGGGGAGAGACGACTTGCTTCTTCGAGTCCACGGCTGAGTAATATATAAAATTAATTAATTAACCAACAAAAAGGGAAATACAAATATGGTAATTTTAAATTTTAAAAGATGAGAAAAAGGATCGGCAATGATTATTAGCCCTTTTCTTTTTCTTTTTGGGATATTCCAAATTGAAGTAATGCTACAATTAACTCTTTTTTTTTTTTTTTCAATCCATAATAATCAAGTTATTTATCATTTTTTTAAAGTAATTATAATCCATTTGAATCCGCCCTATGGCCCAATAATATAACTTACAGGAAGAAAGGGATTAAGAGATTTTGATTGCTTCTCTATTGTTTAAAAAATATTTTTATTTTAAAAAATTGTATTTGATAATCATTAAATATATTTTTAATAGTTACTAAATTTAATTCAACAGTAATTTTGAATGAGGTTAGAATTTGGAATTCACCAAAAAATTTGAATGAGACTAGAATTAGGAATTCTGAGAATGGTACAAGTATTTTAAGTAACTCTTTTTTATTAAATAATTTTGTTATTTAAAAAAAAAATACTCATTCTTTAATACAGTTTTATTATCAAATATAGTAACATCTGAGAAAGAAAAATATTATTGTAAAATTAACAATAAAAGTATTAAAAAAATTATTATTACCAAATAATTTTAAAATTAATTTAATTAGAAAAAATAGTTCTTTAATACAGTTTTATTATCAAACAAGGTAACATCTAATAAAGAAAAATATTATTATAAAATTAACAATAAAAGTATTTAAAAAACTATTGTTACCAAATAATTTTAAAATTAATTTAATTATAAAAAATATTTATTATAATACATCATCAAACATTTAAATGTTTTTAGTGATGGTAATTTTTTTTTGACATCTCTATTAATAAAAATATTTTTTTATTTCAATATCATCCTAGTTTGGTGCATAATCAGAAGTGGAATGACCTCCTCATACCAAAAGTTTTGTACAGATATCCTTCCAATTTTGTCAATTTAAGCACAGTATTCATTTATTACCAATTTTACTATTAGTTTACGCGCTCGTCCATCAACGCGAGGCAAGTTCTTAATGTGAACATATTTGGTTTCGAGAACCTTCCTCTCGCTAGCCAATTTTTACTAAGAAGATGGGACAACATCGTTGCTGTTATTTGGAATCCAGTGGTTTCCAGAACCTTCCAATCCAGTGTTGCAAGAAATGATATTGTACACTCGAAGTAATATCAGATATTTAGGAGAGAACGAAAGCCACACTCTCCAGTCACAAAAAAATAAAAAAAAATAAAAAAAAAAATGGAAGGAACAATCTTTTGTTGTTCTTAAGCATCCAAATCCTACCCTTTCTTAGGAACAGTCTTGTGTTTCCATATGATGTCTGGAAATTTGAGTAGAAGCTAGAGAGATGTTATGGAGAGCAGTACCCAAGATTTCCTACAGAACTGAACTGTCCCAATTTGAAACAATCTGCTCACAAGTTCTTTCATTATGCAATTCACAGTCATTGAAAGAGGCTGTTTGCATTCACAGCCCAATAGTCAAATTGGGTCTTCATGATAATTTGTTACTGAATAACAATCTGTTGTCTCTATATGCAAAATGCTTTGGACCAGAACATGCACGCCACTTTTTTGATGAAATGCCGCATAAGGATGTTGTTTCCTGGACAGGGATGGTGTCTGCTTATGTCCGGCACGGAGACCATAAGGAGGCACTTGAAATGTTTGATTTAATGAATATTTCTGGCCAATGTCCTAATGATTTCACACTCTCGACGGTCTTAAGATCGTGTTCTGCTCTCGGGGAATTTGATCAGGGGACTCGTGTGCAGGCCTATATGATCAAGCATGGGTTTGAATCGAATTTGGTTTTGGGCAGTGGCTTGATTTATTTTTATTCCAAGTGTGATCATGCTGATGAAGCATACAAACTATTCACTAGTATGAACAATGGTGACACTGTATCTTGGACAATGATGATCTCTTCTTTTGTTGATGCTCAAAATTGGAGTCGGGCTTTTCAACTTTATTGTGATATGCTTGATGCTGGTGTTCCTCCAAATGAGTACACTTTTGTGAAACTTGTGGTAGCCTCGAGTTTTCTTGGCTTGAACTATGGGAAATTAGTCCATGCCCATTTATTAAGGCGGGGAGTTGAGTTGAGTTTGGTTTTGAAGACAGCTCTTGTTCATATGTATTCAAAAAGCCAGAGGATGGGAGATGCAGTGAAGGTCTCGAACCAGACGTGTGAATTTGATGTGTTGTTATGGACTGCTATTGTTAGTGGTTTCGGTCAAAACTTGAAGTTCAGTGATGCTATTGCTGCATTTCGTGACATGTTGATCTCTGGTGTTGTACCAAACAGTTACACTTACTCTGCAGTTCTAAATGCTTGCTCCTCGGTCCTTGCACTAGAATTGGGGAAACAAATCCACTCGAGGGTGATCATTGCCGGCTTGGAGTGTGATGCTTCTGTTGGAAATGCACTTGTTGATATGTACATGAAAAGTTCGTACATGATAGAAGATGCTTTGAGAGCATTTAATGGGATAGCCTCTCCTAATGTAATCTCTTGGACTTCATTGATTTCTGGTTTGGCTGAACATGGTCTTGGACAAGAGTCATTTCAGGCATTTGATGAGATGCGGCTTGTGGGGGAGCAACCAAATTCTTTTACTCTCTCTGCCATCCTTGGGGCTTGTGGAAATATGAAATCTCCAAGTCAGAAAAGGAAACTTCATGGGTATATTGTTAAAATCAGGGCAGATGATGATATAGCTCTTGAGAATGCTCTTGTAGATGCTTATGCTGCATCGGGTATGTTTAATGATGCATGGCACGTGATTAGTATGATGAGTCGGAGAGATGCCATCACATACACTAGTTTAGCCACAAGAATGAATCAAATGGGATATCATGGTATGGCTTTAAACATCATCACTCACATGTTTGATGGTAACGTTAAGATAGATGCATTTAGCATGGCTGGCTTCTTATCTGCATCAGCTGGCTTAGGTGCAATGGAGCCCGGGAAGCAGCTTCATTCTTATTCCATAAAATCTGGCTTATGCAGCTTAATTTCGGTATCAAATGGCCTAGTTGACTTGTACAGTAAATGTGGATGCATACATGATTTGCATAGAGCTTTTGGAGAAATAGTTGAGCCGGATGCCGTGTCATGGAATGGGTTAATGTTTGGTTTAGCAATGAATGGGCACATCTCCTCCGCTCTTTCTGCCTTTGAAGATATGAGGTTGGCCGGAGTCAAACCTGATCCTATTACATTCTTAATACTGCTCTTCGCTAGCAGTCGTGGTGGTTTTGTTGATCTAGGTTTAGAGTATTTCAAATCTATGAGAGAAACATGTGGTCTGACACCGCAACTTGATCACTATGTTCGTTTAGTTGATCTCCTTGGCCGAGCTGGCTGGCTAGAGGAGGCCGGTGCTGTGTTAGAAACCATGCCTTTCATGCCAGACGCATTGATCTACAAAACATTATTGGGTTTCTGCAAATTACATAGGAACGTGCCTCTTGGGGAATATATTGCAAGAAAAGGTCTTGAGCTTGATCCATCTGATCCAGCATTTTATTTGCTACTTGCTAACATGTATGATGATTCTGGCCAACCCGATTTAGGTGAGCAAATCCGCAGGAAGATGAGAGAGATGGGTTTGGAGAAGAATCCTGGTCAAAGCTGGATTGAGATGAGAAGCAAGGTTCATCTCTTCACTGCAGGAGACAGAACACATCCACAAATAAATATGATTCATGGCAAAATACAGTCATTAATAGCCGAGTTCAACAATGGAGGATATTTATATCAAAACAGTGGAGATTCATCATACCACAGTGAGAAGTTAGCCGTTGCATTTGGTCTCCTTAATGCACCATCAACAGCTCCAATACGGATAATCAAGAACACGCGTATTTGCAGAGATTGTCATAACTTCATGATGAATGTAACTAGGTTGGTTGATAGGGAGATAATTGTGAGGGATCGAAACTGCTTACACTGTTTCAAGAAGGGCGAATGTTCATGCAAAGGCTATTGGTAAACACTGTAACAAAGTGGCTTGCATTTCATGAACCATGACCTTGCTGGATCTATTGTGATCAATAAAATCATGATAACTGCTGTTAGAGGAAAGCTTAACATTGTTCTGGAAGGCACTTTCTGCAGCTGATAAAGCAAAGAAATATTCGGTCACTAGGCTTGTTGCTCTCCAGATTCATTTTTGTTCCAAAACTCTGGTTTCTGGTGAGACTGTCAAGTTCAGAAAGAAGATATTAGATTAAGGATTCGAAATGGCAAAGGTTGTAAAGTCACCAAGACTTTGAACCAGCAATGTTGAATGCAACATGTTTCTTGCCTCTTTTGCTATTTTTGGCGGAGTTTTGAAACATTTGCTCAATCGGTTTTGGTATTACATTTTTTATGAGCATGGGTTGGTTTTGGATGTCATGAACTACATAATAATTGAGAGTTACCAGCCAGAAAAAAATTTGGCCATAATTTCTTTATCACAACAATTTCAGTGGAAACCCTAGTTTCAAAAGTATTTGCTGTCCAATTAGTTTAACTGAAGGGATTTCAAGTCCAAACGGTTTACTCAAATACAGCCTAAAAAGACAGGTGCTTCGCTCCAATTTAGGTATTTCGACAATTTATGTATTCCAGGTAATTTTGGAGGATTGACTGGAAGGCACAGAACCAGAAACTTTGTATACTTCAAATTTTCAGGATGAAATACTATATACTCCGTAATAGATTAAATTTTGATTTATCCAGAAATATTATACCATAAGAAAATTGTGTGAAAATTAGTGAAACAAACCATGATGGAGGCAAGATAATTGGTAGTACATTAGTCTCTGTAGCCATGTATCAAGCAGATTTTGCAAACTGTAGGTGCAGTAGCAACGGTGCATGAACTTTGTAGCTAGGCATTGCCAATTCAAGGTGTAGCAACCTCCATTCACGTCCAATTATCTTGAACGTAAATGGAACTCTTTCAAAAAATAGTAGCCATATCAAAACTATTCATGAATTTTGTCATTTCTAGAGAACATGAAAATGACAACATGGCAAAATATGATCAATTTTTCTATGATATATCATTAAAGATGATGAATTCTTACACTGAAACGCCATTTAAAAAGTTGCATACCCAAGATCCTATGTCGAGAACAATTATTCCCTCATCGACCTTTTTATTTCTTAGTCACAGGCAAATACAGCTAATACTCCTAGCACAAGTTCTCACTACAACAGGAACGCAAATTAAAAATAAATTTATTAAAATACCAGCTCAATTCGAGTTTATTGGCAATGGTTTAAGCTTTTCTACACCAATAAACTATGTCCGATCCAGCAAACAAACTATTTCGACGTAACAAGCATAAACAAGAGAACTTAGAGAGTAAAGGACATTGATTTAGCTTAGAATCTCAGATGTTTCTTAATGAATATCCAAAACAAGTGCCAGCAGCATACTACTCCATTGTTTTGTCAGTCGCTTGAGGTGATTGCAGGCTTCGAAGTAGCAGGCTCCAACGTGCCTGAAGTAACAGCCTCCAACGTCTTGTAGAACTCCTCAGGGAGAGGGCCAGGTCGGTGCAAGGGGACATGCTTCGGAACTGGAGCATCATTCTCAATAACTTCACACTCATAGTCATCAGGAACACCCCATGCATCCCACTCTGCAATACAACAAAACAAGAAATGCACATTATTAACACTTCAAATTCATAAAAGTCAGTCTTATAGAAGGCGAGATTCAATGAAGATGTTCGCTTTAACTCAAAATTTACCACGTATCATACTGGACTAAATGGAAAGGAAAACCATCTTAACATTAGGTAACTGGAGGCTTTCCAATAAGGAAAGGCTTCTGAATGGCAGCTGCAATAGGGGTTGAGGGGGAGAGAGATTTTGCCAAACACCTACCCCGAGCAAGGGGTGTTTTTCAATGAAAAAGAAATAAAGGAAAAAATGATGAAGAATATAATATGACTGTTGATCACATGTTTGTTGTCGTCATCATCCTTGCCTTAATCCCATATACATGGGTTTGGCCACGTGAATTCTCTCTCTCCAATCTTTTCTATTACATGTCCTTTCCCCTCCCATGTTTAACTTTTTAAAATCATTTTTAATAACCTTAATCCCATGTTATTTTTGGTCGCCCTCTCCGTCTCTTACCTTCTATAATAACTAATCTTCCACGCTTCACCGGCGCGTCTCTAGGCCTCCGATAGATGTGTCCAAACCATCTCAATCTACTCTCTCTAATATTCTCAGAAATGGGTGCTACACCTAATTTCCCTCACACTCTTACTACTCAACTTTTCTAGTCACCCCACTCATCCACCTCAACACTCTCCCAAAATTGATACAAGAAAAGGAAAAACAGACAAAATTGATAAGAACTCCATATCATTGTTGAATCTAGCAAACAAGGATTTGTCACGGGAATTACAATCCCAAACGTCAAGTAAGATGGAAATCAAAAACAATTTTGTATAATTACATAGAAAATACATGAAAAATAAGGCCTATTTAACAGAACTGCAAAGTTTCATTGCTGACCGATAGAATAGACATCAGATAAAGTACATATATAGACCTCAAGGGTTAAGGATATCAACCCAATCAAGCATAGTCACCTAGGAACCACGGGCCAGCACATAGTAAATTTAGAACTTCTAAAAATCTTATAAGGCTGCTTAATTGGTTTCTACCAGATTTTTGTATTAAGATGGTTACTATATCAATACTGTGTAAGTTTAGCACGGAATCCTAAACAGGGATGCTACCTGGCAGGCTGATAATCCAAGGCACCTTTCAAAATTTAAGAGCAGGGGTAGTGTTGGTCTGTCTAAGGTTTGATCTTCTTAATCCTTTCAATCCTTCAACCCAGAAAATTTAGAATGGTAAAAAATAAAAGGAAAGGAAAGCCTCGGGTTGAAGATGCGTCCATCCCCCACCCTTGCTTTATATTTTTTACCAGCCAAAACAGAGCATAACCAATCTCAACTCAAACCAACATCCAACAATAGTTTTAGTACCAATTACAACAAAGATCAATGGATAGTTCTACAAAACGATCCCCAATGATTTAATGAAAATCAACATTGGAGACTAATTTACTTTATTACTCCCATTGCTTCAAAGCAACGCAACATGGGGAAGGGGTGAACAAATGGAGGACCAATCTTCACTTGCCACCTCAACAACAGAACCAACCTAACCTAAACATATTGTTATTTTTGGGTTAATTAACCACCAACATTTCCATATATTTGGAAGCAATGATGGTGCTTGCGGAGGCTATTTAGGTGACACCAGCACTGATGACACTGTTCATGGTGCAATCTGACATTCTGAAAATTTTAAGACAAACTATAATGAACTTGGTGAAGGGGAAAAAAAAATATTGGCAGAGAAATTGTGGAAGGTGACACTGGTTCAGGCGAGAAACACATCTCTCTCTAAACAATCTTTAAAATAAGAATACCTAGATATATGTTATACATGCACACCTATAAAATGTTTACATCAAGATAATTGCTACGTTATTTGCCATACTCAGATTCACCATGTAAGAAATGATCTCGAATCTCCAACTACTCCACGATTCTGGGTATTATACTTAATATTCTATCTACCCTCTCTCTCTTACTTATCAAACTAAAATAAAAAATCTACCCTCCTCTCTCTCTCTCTCTCTCTCATATAATACCAATAAATTACCAACAATGGAAGCTAAAGGGTAGAAGTTACTTGAATGATGGTGCTTTGATTTAAAAATAGAGAGATATGAGAGTGAATCAGAAAAAGAAGGTAGCTAGAATACATGGAAGAGATAGTGACAGGAATCAATGGAAGGAGGTGGGTTTGGTAGTGGTAGTGATGCCGGCACCGAGGACAAGGGGGAGAGGATTTGGAGTGACACTTGCCAATATACAAGTGAATCAGATTCTTAATATATTAGTTTCTCTCTCACTAAGGGTTTAAAGACTTTTTACAGCGACAAATATTTTTGAGGAATTTAAACTTTTCTGTCAATTTGTTTTGCAGAAAATATTAAATTCTATGAAAATTCTTGGATGATATATGTAGAACCCCCTCCTAATAACAATTTAAAAACAAAAACTTCTCTTGCATATTATATACCAAGTAAAACAAGTATTCTATGAGCCAAAATAAACAACTAAACGCGTCTGCAATCTTTCAACAATTACAGTAAATTGAGAACCAACACAGAGGCATGAGAAATGAAATTTATCCGAAGTTTCATTACTGTAGAGGTAGAAATAGCATCCCAAACCCAACAATCCACCCGACCATACCCATCCTTGGGTTAATTTGGCGAGGAGCAGATCAATTCGGGTGAACCCATTAAAAAGGGTCCGGTTCTAGTTTTTGCTGATGCAATCCATTTGGTTGTTATACCCAAAGAAGAAAACGTATATATTAGTTTTTCAATTATACACACCATTAAGGCATTTATAAGGACAAATTTATTCTTTCCGTGATCCTTTTTTTGAGTGCGTATTCAGTGTAAATGAGACCGTGAGTTCTGGGTCATGCATACATGTAAATTCTACATGTTTCAAGGTGTTGTATTTTTACTTGTACTATTCCATGGAAAAATTTAAATTTTACAAAAAAATTTAATCATTTTATTGATTTTACATTATTCTCAATATCCATTTGAACAAAACTGTATTCCTTTACTAGTGTGAATTATACACTGAAATTCATAAGTTATTTATTAACAATGTGCAATATATATAGATATATATAAATAAGTTCCAGCTTCATTTCAAAAAAATAGTGAAGATAAGAGAAATTTAAACAAGTTAGGGAGGCTAAAATGTATTGGGTTAAAGGTTCTACTAAAATTTCGAATTTAGTTGAAAGTTTGAAAAGAGAACATAAATAAGCTTTATCTAGATTTCAATCGAATAGATATGGGATCTTTCCAAACCCCACATGCTTCTAGTTGGTTATTTGCCAATTAAGTTGAGATCCGCTACCAGAATCACATATTTCGGTGTAGAGCCACACAATGACACCTTAAGTACCACCTCTTCCCTTCCATTGAATGAGCTCTAACATCCTAGCTCGACCCCTCAGACCAGTAAACATTCTTGCAGTTATTCTTCTGAAACCTGACAATCAGAGCATATGGAATATGCAAGCTTTCATGTTCTTAGGGAAATAGCAACTATGGAATTCATTGATCCTAAAATAACCCAAGCCATTACTATTGTGATGCACTCTTAGCAAGAGGAGACGATTAGTTGTGACAGAACAAAGGAACAGTGCAAGAGAAAGGATAATTGAAAAGCAAGCTTTACTTTAGTTGCTCTTAAGCATAATACTCTCCAATACCCTAACCACCCTTTATATATATATAGCCTCCTAGCAATCCTACTATAATTGGCATTATTATAATAAAGCAAAGTTACTAAAAATCAAAAAATTACATAAAATCAGCAAGTTTCTAAAAATCAGACATGGAAAGTTTTCAAAAATCACAAGATAATATCCACTTTTTAATTGACGGGGGAACAACTTTTTATCTTACCAACTTTCTAAAGATCATCGTAAACAAACACACACCCTATCAAAGCTCGAAACTAAACACGAGTTGTGTTTCTCTGGGTTCGGCCAATGTGCATGAACCCTATGCCCATTCCCAAGCCATTGGTTTGCAGAGGTAGATCATCCGCATTACCACAAGCATCACGGCTAGCATTTGGTGGTAAGACTTTACGATCAAAGTAACCCAATAACAACATTATTTTCTTTGCATTCATTACAAAAAGGATATTAAACAAGCTGGAGACAATTCATGGATTGGGTGAAGTCCCAAAAGGAATGATTAAGATTTTGAACAAAACACAGCCACTAACGGGAAAGAAAGCAAAATCAAGATGGGATCAAGTGAAAAATTGCTAAACTTAATAGAACACTAAGTCAAAACAATTTAATCTAAAATCCACCCAAAATGCATACACCAAAATCTTGCAAAAGCAATAAAAAGTCACCTCTATAACGCCAATAATTCTTGATAAAAATAAAAGTAGAGATTTTTAACCAATATACACACACATATATTCCATGTCATTATTAAACTTGCATCATTTTCAATAACGTTTTCCACTTGTTTTAAGAAATCAATTTCTTCTCTTTCCCCTATCCTTTCTCAGCAACCAAACGGAAATATTAAGATTTCCATTTTTCTGTAAATCTACAATCAATTTAACTCAAAAAATGAGAGAATGGAGAGAGTATTGGACAGTACAGACCGATCATCTTGGACATGAGCTTGAGCTCGTCCTGAGCCTCTTCGATGAGCTCTTCGACCTGACCACATCCGAGCCGTTTTTCTATTACTTCCCAGTCCTCCTCCTCCTGGCACACCTTTAGGCGGTGGCGCGTGAAACTCTCTACCGCCTTACGGTAGCCCTCGTCCTCAGGGACGATCTGAATCTCCTTTAGGGTTTTGTTATATAGATTAATCAACACCTCCCTCGCGTTCGGGACCACATCAAGCCCTACGATCCCCGTCGTCTCCTTCACCCTCGCCATCAGAGGCAGCGCCACCCTTCGTAGGAACATTTTCTCTCTCTTCTCTTTCTCTCTCTCTCTCTCTCTTCGACTCGACTCGGTTTCTACTCAGTCACACTCGGGCCACTGGACACATTGCTCTGAACAGATCATATCATTCTTGCGGTTTTACCATAAGCTTGTGTTCCATCGTGCAGTCAATGCCCACCCATCAATACAATATACTGTAGTCACAAAAATTTTACTCCGTACTAATTAAATTAGAAACTGATTTTGGCAGTGGGAGTCCAATGTTTGGTACAATAGAAATAAAAGAAATACTCCCTAATCCCAAAATAACTAGGTCTTTTGAAAATTGTGGCTCACAAAATACAGTTCTCAATGTACCCAACTGTTTTGAAATAGAGAGGATAATAAGATTAGTTATGAGAGAGAAAAGAAAAGAAAAGAAATGAGTAATAGTGTTTGCGGAAAGAAATGAAAGGAAAATATTATCATAAATTTACTATCATACTATTTTTCATATATTTTGCCCTTTATAAAAAGAAGGCAAATATAGTATTAAAAAGTTTTCATTAAAAAAATGGTAAAGTACAGCCACACCCCTAAGGTTTGGTAAAAGGACACATAGATGAAAGTTACCCATTTTTTGAATAATGACACCCCTTCAAGTTTGAAAAATGGACAAAGAGACCCTGACAATGGTGAATTGACTTTAATACCTTTTGATATGAAATTGATATTTTAATTAACTTAAATACCCTTGAATCAAACCCAAATCCAAATCCAAATCCAAACCCAAACCCTTCTCTCTGTATGTATGTGTGTACATAATCGCCGCCCGACAACCTGTATAAAGAACTCCTCAGTCGCCGCCGCCACAGCCTCATCATCATTCTCGTGTGGTGGTGCTTCAAACCATCGTCATGGTTGTTGGTGATGACGACGCATGCCACCATGGAACATTATCGGATCGAAGTCATTTTTCTCACCTTCTCTCCTTTTTGTTCTCTTTTCCTCCGCCCCAACATCAATAGACACACACATATATACACACATACATACATATATATATATATATATACAAGTGGTGATACTGAATGGATCTGCGGCCTTCATCCTTTGATTCCGTCGACCCATAGAGCCTTCATCATTTTGCAAAGATTGATACATATATATGTACACACCCCTTTTAACTTTTATATCATTAGATCCCTTATTGTTATCATATATAAGAGTTCCAAAAGTCTTATTGGTCTCATTAGAGGACAATTCTCAGTAGTGCATTCTAATCATTCATAAATTTCTTAAAGGACTCTAAGGATCTTTTTCAAAATTTTAAAGTAATATTTGGTTTAACCACCAATTAGATATTATGGTTGAACTCTCAATTAGATACAATAATTGAATATATATGTATGTGTATATATTTTAACAGCAAGGAAATATATTTTAATTGTTTGTTTACCAATTAATCATTTTTTCCTGAGAAAAAGGAAATCAGTGGGCTAAGAGTTGTTTAGTGGAATTTTTAATCATTAGAGGTGGTTGCACCACTCCAGGAGAGCAGTGTGGGTAGGTGTGGTGGTGGTGAGGGAGGCTGAGGTGTGGTGGCGGCAGCGGTCGATGACCCCTGCGCCTGCCTCGCCAGTGTTGGTGGTGGTGTTGTAATGTGTATTATATATATATATATATATATATATATATATATATATATATATATATATATGTTAGCAGATAGAGAGAGAGAGGCATAGATGGTGTGATAGGAAAAGAAGCAGAGAAAAAATAATAAGGGGTTGTTGCGTCATTTTGCAAGGTCTGAAATTTTGTAATATATCTGAATTTAATATTGAGGGGTAATTTTGTCTTTTCATATGAATTAAGGCCTTGTTTGGATGGAATTTCAGAAAGAGGGTGTCACTATCCGAAAAATGAGTAACTTTCATATGTGTCTTTTTGCCAAACCTCAGGGGGTGTGGCTGTATTTTACCCTTAAAAAAATTATTCTTTCTTTTCCTTTCCTTCGATTTCCTCTCATTTTGAAAGGCTAACAAAGCCAACACATCCTATATAACTTTTTTATTTCCAAATCCCTCTGATTCTTTCTTTTCCTTTGAAAACTGATCCAAAACACAATATTTGATTTCCCTCCATTACCTTTCTTTTCTTTTCCTTCCTATACCCTCCAACCAAACTGGGCCTTGTACTTTGTTGGGGAGGAATGAAAGAAGATGGGTAAAAAAAGAGATGTGAAGAAATATATATATATATATTGATAAAAAAAGAAATAAAGAGATAAAAGATAATAGAATGAATGAATCATAATTCCTCTATTACAATTTTTTTATCTCTCCAAATATGGGCAGAAGAGAATGGGGAATACAAGTTGGGCTGTTATAAAAAAATCAAATTACAATATTATCCTTCACAAATTACATTTTTATAAATATTTACGTTATAATGGTAAAAATATTTTAAAATTCTCACTTCTCCTTTCTCTTAACGAACAGAGTAAGTGGTCAGCTTTTTCTCCTCTTTCATTCAATCGAATTAAAAAAAAAAATGACACAATCTCTTCTTTAAAGATATCTCATCCATCATTTCTCTCATTTCCATTCTTTCTATTCAATTTTTTTCCTTCCCACCGAATGAAACATTAGGCTATTTTGGTAAATGGTACACTGAAAAAAGAATAGAAAATATAACTTTAGTTATGTGGTAAAAGAAAAGAAAGGAAATGAGAGGATAACGTTAACTATTTATCTATTTTTTTTTTTTTTTTTTGGAAGTTAAAGCAATTAATTGATGGAATGGGGATTTGAACCTGGGCCTCTGGCCAAGAGCAACACAAGCCCTACCACTGGGCTATCATACCATATCCAAACTATTTTATCTTGTTAATGAAGGAAAATAGATAAAAGGATGGTAACCATATTTGGATAATAGAAAAGGCAAAAAAAAAAAAAAAAAAAAAACTATTTTAATGAATTTACAATCATACTATTTTTCATAAATTTTGTCATTTGAAAAAATAAGGGCAAATTAGATATTTACAAAGTTTTATAATATTAACATTTCTTTCTCTTTCCTTTCATTTCCCCCTATTTTTTGAAGGATAACAAAAATTACTAATATGCCTTATTGTATCCCTCCAAAACCTCCATTTTCTTTTATTTTCCTTCCAACATTTCATACCAAACACAATATATCATCTTCCTCAATTATCATACTTTTCTTTTCCTTTCATTTTCATTGTACCATAGGTAGAAATAGCAGAAAATGAAAAGAAATAAAAAAAATAATCATTTATTTTGCGTTCAAAGCACAGAATCGACACTTTGGAATTGGGATTGGAAGAATCAATTCAAAATTTAAACTAAATAATTTGAAAAAAAAAAAATTTAGTTTCTCATAAAAGTTATCCCCAGTATTTTAGTTTCCTATTATGCCACTTATTAGTTGGTGGATTCTATCTATTTAATTGTTCATAGACTTCTAACGGGATTTGTTCAGCACAATAACTTTAAAAAATGGATTATTTGAAGCAAATTGGTCTCTTAAACCGGTCTCTTAAATCTAACTTGACATGTATAATATAATTTTTCAAATATTCCCATGACTATAGGTTTTGAAAGTTAATTAACAGTTAAAAATAGTATGAATTTTTCCTCAAATATGAACAATTTTAAAATGGATATAAATAGTTATATTATTATTATTATTTTACTAAAATGGATATAAACAATTGTTTATATAAAGGGGATTGACCTAACACACATTTTTTTATTTATTAGTATTATAGATTATAAGAAAATTTAGTTTTCAAATTTTTTTACTTAATTTTCCTATTGAGGCTTTATTTTTTTCTTTTTTTACTTCTTTTAATTAAACAACTTGAAAAGCGGCACGCGCACATGTGCAGATAAATCTGATCAAGTGAGCATTAACAACATCATACGCGACTAATATGCACACAATACAACATAGAAGTTTTACGTGTAATAGACACGCATACAAATAATATATATATGTGTGTGTGTAAAGAAAATATTGAATCTTCTATATGACACACATGTACACATGACTAGTATGCATACGATACAACATACAAGCTTTACGTATAATTAACATGCGCGTACCAAATGTTACACGTGACACGCACGCATACGACACAACATACAAGCTTCACACGTGATAAACATGCATACATCGAATCTTACACGCGATACGTATGCACATAAATGAAACAAAAAAGAGGAAAAAAGAAAGCATAAATATCTGCGCATGCATAACAAATATATACTTCTCCACAAACGAAAAGAGGGGAGAGATGGAGTTTAAGAAAGAAAAGGCAAATGAGGGGCAGAGATTGAGATGGTGGAAGAATTGGGAATCCTAATGTTCTTAAGAGTAGGTAAGGTACAAAATTGTAAGATGTCTTTTTAATCACTACTCACTAATTACTTTTCATGATTTTTTTGCATTTATGATTTATTAGAAAATAAAAGAAAAAAATTGTATTGCTTTCAAGTATTTTAGATAATTAATTTAAAAATTTAGTGTTTAAATTTTTTACTTAATTTTTATATTAATATATATATATATATATATATATATATATATATATATATATATATTTTAATTATATAACTACAAAAGTAAGAATGGCAACGGGGTGGGGCGGGGATCTTATTCCCCATCCCTATAACCGGCCAAAATCCCCGCCCCCGTCCCCGCCACCATCTTCCCCGCCCCCATTCCCGCCCCGCCCCGCCCCCGATTAAGCTTTCCTAATTCTCAATATCACGAATTCACAATTCGAGGGAAAAAAAAAAAAAAATCGCCCCCAATATGTATATGTAGGAGTAATCGGTAGTATCCATTATACACACACACACACACACACACACAACCAACCACATCAGAATCTGGAATCCCAGAGCAACACTTCAAAATTAATACACACACACACACACACACACTTGCATATGCATATGAACAAAATTAGATATGGAATTAGACGGTGAAAAGCCGACGCCGGTGAGGGGGAAAAGCCGATGCCGGAGGCAGATTTGGAAGGACAAGAAGAGCCGATGTCAGAGATGGATTAGGAAAGGACGAGGAAGAGTCGATGTTGTTATCGATT